CGAGATTTGAAACAGCTCCTTCAAGAGTTGCGAAGCACAATTGATGAAATACCTTCTGCGATTCTTCCCAAAACGGAAAGTGACAGCGATCCTGACTTGAGCAGTACGCTGTAAGGCTATGCAAAATACTGGTAACTTCTGTGTTTAGGATCTCATTTTGGAAATGCATGATCTATAGGCAAAGACCTATGCGGAGTTTGTGTTAATCCGTTGAGATTAAATTTTCCAAATGGAGCTCAGTTTGTCTTTACTTCCTGGACACACCCATGTTGTCTTCTTGGCAACACTTGAAAAAAATCACTTGCCACTGTCTTCTCCTGGGATGTTTTTGCAACTACCTCATTCCGTTTAAGTCCTGGTATTATCCATGGGTCTTTCAGCCAAGGTACAGGTAGTTCTCAACTTACAACAGTTCACTTAGTGACTATTTGAAGTTACGTCACTGAAAAAAGGGACTTATGACCGCTTTTCCACACTTACAACCGTTGCAGCATCCCCACGGTCATGTGATCAAAATTCAGCTGCTTGGCAACTGACTCATATTTATGACGGTTGCAATGTCCCGGGGTCACTATGATCCCCTTTTGCGACCTTCTGACAAGCAAAGTCAATGGGGAAGACAGATTCATTTAACAACCGTGTTACTAACTTAACAACTGCAGTGAATCGCTTAACAATGGTGACAAAAACGGTCATAAAATGGGGCAAAAGTCACTTAACAAAGGTCTCACTTAGCAACAGAAATTTGGGGCTCAATTGTGGTCGTACGTCGAGGACTACCTGTGTTAACCAGATCCAAACTTTGATAACTTTTTGAGATCAATCAACATAGCTAGATGTTTGCATCCTAGCAGGGTGGATGGATGGATGGATGGATGGATGGATGGATGAGTGGGTGGATGGATGGAGAGAGGAGAGAGCTACTGTATATACACAAGGACACACATAAAGTTTAATAACCAAGATCTCCCTCTGAAGACAGTGCTGAGAAACTCAAAACTGTGAGATCTATTTCCACATGGAACAGAAATCTGGCTAGGAGAAGACATGGTGTGATTCAATATAGGGAAAAAAATCATATTATCATAGGGACGATAGGGTTGGTATCATGGAACAGTTGTTTAAACCTCTCAGATGAGTAGCAGGAGACCACCGAGTAGGACAGAGGTATCCAACCTTGGCAACTTTAAGACCTGTGGACTTCAGCTCCCAGAATTCTCATGCTTGCTGTGGCATTCTGGGAGTTGAAGTCCACGAGTTTTAAAGCTGCCAAGATTGAACATCCCCGGAGTAGGGTATGGGTCTGAACTACAGTTCCCAGTATCACTTGCTGGAAGCCATAGCATTGTATTTAGACAAAACACCTGCACCCACAAGAAGGTGAAGCTAAATTGAGGAAAGAGAGGCAATTTCTGCTGGCTGTGCTTTGCAAAAGTGAGTATATCGCAGGTTTTCTACACCTTCTGACAAAGGGCTTTGTGTTTCTATTTTTATTATGGGGGTGTATTTTGTCTACTGCTTGCCCTTTGTCTACTCCAGGGGTAGGCAACCTTGGCTCTTTTATGACTCGTAGACTTCAACTCCCAGAATTCCTGAGCCAGCCATGCTGAGGGGAAAGGGAGAGGTTTCCAAGCTGAGCCATGCTGGCTCAGGAATTCTGGGAGTTGAAGTCCACGAGTCATAAAAGAGCCAAGGTTGCCTACCTCTGGTCTACTCTGTGGCCTGCTTCCAGATGCTATTCACTGTCAGCCCTGCTTTTCCCTTGCAGGAGTAGTAACTGGGGAAGGGTCTTGCTTGTTATTGATTGTTCCCTTTTGCTTCCTCCCCCCCGGCCTTCGCCTACATTTTTCACATCATCCCGATTGCTTTTGGGATGTGGCTTTAGAGCAATTTAAAAGAGCACTGAAACCTTGTTCAGAAAGTCAGCTGAGAGTGGGATAATGGGTAACCAAACTGAAAGATCCTATGGAGCTTTGTTTTTATACACAGGTAGTCCTCGACTTACAACAATTAGCTTAGCAAGCAGTTCAAGTTAATGTTGGAAGAAAAATCGGGTCCGGTCCCAAGCTGGGAGAAAGATGCTGAAAATTAAAACGGGAGGCTAGCTGCTTAGGAAGGAAGAGCTCTGTTTACTGATGAGCCAGAAAACTAAAGTGACAACAGCACGTTTTTGGGGTGGCTGACAAAATGGAGCTGAGAATAAGTGGGTTTTTATACATTCTTTGGGGCTTTGTGATCGAGATGCCCATTCCTGTGTAAGAATACGTCCTTTAATATTTTAAGGGCTGTTGCCAGATTCTTATGGGGTCATGGCTGGCTCTTCAGCCAAAAGGGGAAATGCAAATCCTAGGTCAGGGGTCGGCAACCTTAAACACTCAAAGAGCCACTTGGACTTGTTTCCCAGAGAAAAGAAAACACTGGGAGCCGCAAAACTTGCGTGTGCGCACGTGCGCGCGGGAGGGGGGGAGCTTGATTGAAGAATTTAATTAAAAAGAAATAGAGGCTGCTGTGCATGAGTTCTCTCTCCCTCCCTCCCTCTCTCCCTCTCTTTCTCTCTCTCCCTCCCTCTCCCTCCCTCTCTCTCTCTCGCCCCACCCCTCTCTCCGATCTTCTGCTAAACTGGCAAGCTGGCTTCACGCTGTTCTCCGACAAGCTGACACACATTCTTATTGGGCTGGCTCTCTCCTGCCCTTGGTCTGCCAGTCCTCTTACCCCACTCAGTGTGTGTGTGTGCGTGTGTATGTGTGTGTGTTTATGTGTGTGTGTGTGTGTGTGTGTGTGTGTGTGTGTGTGTGAGAGAGAGAGAGAGAGAGAGAGAGAGAGAGAGAGAGAGAGAGCTGCTGCTTTCTGCTGCTTCCTGCGGAGACGCAGCAAAGGCTGGAGCCCCGCCCAATAAGCTTGTCAGCTTGTCGGAGAACAGCGTGAGGCCACTCTCTTTTTTACAGAGAGAGGGGGGGGGGAAGGGAAACGCAAGTGCCTCTTTCTGTCTCTGTCTCTCTCTCTGCAAATGGTGGAGGAGGCTGGGAGCCGCAGGAGAAGGCTCAAAGAGCCACATGCGGTTCTGGAGCCGTGGGTTGTGTCCTAGGTGTTTGTCTGAGCAAATCTTGTCAGTTTGGCCTTGCCTATTGTGTTGCTTATTTAGGGTTTCTGGCTGTCCTTTGTTTATGAATGGTGTGGCCCAGTCTTTCTGAACAGATTACAAAATCTCCATTCCTAAAGACTATCCTCTTCAGGTTTCTGCTTCAGAAAGACTGGAGTTGCTTTCTGCCTTTAAGAAGACGTCTCTCCTCTCCTCTCCTCTTTTCCTTCAGGGGAAATATTCTATTCTGCCTCTTTTTAATATTTTATTCAGGGGAACGGGGGGGGACTCTCCCTACAGTTATAACAGCAGCGAAAAAAGTGATTTATGAGCAGTCCTCAAACTTACAACATTGCCACATTATCAAAATTCAGGCACTTGGCAACTGGCATGTAATTACGATAGTTGCAATGTGTTGCGATCGTGTGATTGCCGCTTGCAACCGTCCCAGCCGGCTTCCAACAAGCCATGTCAATAGGGGGGGAGGGAAGTAGGATTCGCTCAATGACCACGTGATTCACTTAACGACGGTAGCGATTCTCTTAATAAGTAAAAAAGTCATAAAAATCAGGCAAGACCCGCTGAACGACCATCCTGTTTAGCAACAGACATTCTGGTTGTAAGTTGAGGACTACCTGTGTGATAACCGCAGGGAGACTTCGATACGCACAAAGGCGGAAGGATTTACAAATAAACTGCCTTGAAAAATGGATGGTTAAGCTGAAGAAGTTGGCGGAGATGGTAAAACTGACAGCTTTGACTAAAAGACAAGACCTTGACCAATTTTACCTCGACTTGGAAAGCAATTTTGGACTTTTTTTTGTGAGAAACTGAGAGAAATGAATTTTTGATTTGGGGATTTGATCGTTCGAATCCTATGGGATTACAGCAATAATGTAGACTCTTGTTAATTTTAGAGGAAGAACTGAATGTAGTTTTTTTTATTATTTATATCAGTACCAAAGAAAGTCAGAGGTCATTCTACTTCTTCTTCCTTTACTTGTTTTTTTTTCTTGCTTCCTACCTGATTTTTTTCTATCTTTTTTTGGTTCTCTTTCTTCTCGCCTCTTTTGTTTGCATGTTTTTTTTTAATTCAGTAAATATAAAAAAATAAATAAATAAAAACCCTGACAGATCACGGCCAGTGATCGCCTCCCCGTCTGCCACCAGTTTGTTGGACAATTTGAGAGGTGGCTAAACTTGTTGTTCAACGTGCATGTCTATCCTTTCCCATCTCTATGCCATGCAAAGGAGAATGATTGACTGGTGGGTTTTGTCCCACTATTGGCTGATTTTGGTGGAAGGGCAAACAAAGCCGAAGGAATCCACCAATCACTTTCCTTCACTTGTCCCGCTTTAAAACCGTAAGAATAGGACCAGAAGTCAGTCTTGTTTCAGAGCAGATTACGGTTTGGCCACTGAGGCAGCCCTGTGTATGTCAGCTTCCTTTTCTGCTAACCTACAGACTGGTACAATAGATTATAATGAAGCAACTACCCAGCTATGTCTCTTTTCCCAATCAGGAACCCACTTTGTATAAGACAGTTATGACTACCCAAACTGTGTAAATAATATGATGTATTACGTGGTATTTGCATTTTTACCCCCCATCCAGAGACTTTCCTAGCAGCGAAAGCATTGGCAGAAGATCACATGACCCCTGCAGGTGAGGCGCGCTGAAATTTTGACCTGGAATATCAAAATGTTGTGATTGGGCCAGATGGAAGAATGTGGCACTTTTTTTTTTTTTTTTTTTGCATTTCTAGCATATTTTTAAAGTACTTTTAAGGAGTGCCAAACATCTTTGAACATTAATGGCCTATCCCAGGGGTAGGCAACCTTGTCTCTTTTATGACCCGTGGACTTCAACTCCCAGAATTCCTGAGCCAGCCACGCTGAGGGGAAAGGAAGAGGTTTCCAAGCTGAGCCATGCTGGCTCAGGAATTCTGGGAGTTGAAGTCCACGAGTCATAAAAGAGCCAAGGTTACCTACCCCTGGCCTATCCAGAATGCAGTTATGGAGACAATTAAAAAACAGCCTTCATTTGTCCTGCATTAAGATTACAGTCACATATACTATGTGACTAGCACTGATGATGTTACCTAGTCTGGTAATGCAACATCTGCAAGAAAACCACCAAGCTCAGAGAACACCAAGGACCCCACAGTTCAACCCTGAGCTTCAAATACTCTTTTCTAGCAGTTACAGAAACGTCTTACGCAGTTTCTAACATGATAGGAATTTCTCCCACAATGAAAGGAAAGCTTGTTCCAGAAATGTTGTTTTCCCCCCAAAATGTTCCATTTTACAGAAGCATCAATCCCCAGGTGAACAACAACAACAACAAAAAACCCTCTAAAATGCTCCAGCAAGTCTGTTCTATTCTAGAATAGAAAATTCAGAAATCCTTTTTTTTTTGTCTCCCTCCCTCCCCCAATTACTGGCTGATGTGTTGGAAGCAATGACAGTGCTTTCAGTGTCTGGTCCCTGCTAGTTAAAGAAATAATTAGGGAACGAAAACTGTCTTGGTCAAAGAGATCATAAACATGATTTTTCTCAGAAATTGGCTTGGTTTGGTTCATATTTTATACCAAAAAAAACGGACCGGTCCTGGGATTCCATGAACATCCTTGTTTTTCCCAAAGGAGGTTCTTTGATTGCTTTGTCCTCATTATCATACATTTATTTCATCAATAATCAACGTTCCTTGATGATTTTCACAGAGTTCTGTCTCTCGATACAGGGACGCTGCCGTCAGAGACTTACCTTCGGAGAGGACCAGGGGGCAAGAAACATTTAGCAGGTGAGAAGTGATGCTTAGCTTGGTCCTTCAATACGGCGAAGGGATCACCTTGTCGTTAAGAGTAGAATTCTAACAAGGCCATCTGTGGAATGGCATGTCCAGCTCCACCGCTTTCCAGATCTTTTTTCGAACAGTCCGTCTAATTCTCCACCGCAAACGTTGAGTATTTGTGTGGCCTTCAGGAGGAGGAAGAAAAAAATATTGCCAGTTCCACTGATTAAAGCAAGTCTGTTTACCAAAGTACCTACTTGGATTCTGCTTTAAGATCTTCAGACACATATTTCAGACAGAAAAGACCGGGGTTTTTTTTCAACAGAAGTGGCCTTCTCTTTTGCTTAAGCTTAAGGAACCAGGCTAGAATCTAGAAGACTGTGACTTCTAGTCCCCACCTCAGCATGAAATCTGACTGGGTGATTTTGAGACAATCCCAGGGGACTTTGATTTCTAGTCTTGACTTAGACGTGAAAGCCAACTGGGTGACTGAGCCTTCACCAGGAGACTGTGAATTCTAGTCCTGCCTTAAGCGTGAAAGCCAATTGGGTGACTTTGAGTCTGTTATCTGGAGACTGAGTCTTGGTCACCACGATGTAAAAAAGATGTTGAGACTCTAGAAAGAATGCAGAAAAGAACAACAAAGATGATTAGGAGACTGGAGGCTAAAACATATAAGGAACGGTTGCAGGAATTGGGTATGTCTAGTTTAATGAAGAGAAGGGGTGACATGATAGTGTTCCAATATCTCAGAGGTTGCCACATAGAAGAGGGAGTCAAGCTATTTTCCAAGGCGCCTGAAGGCAGGACAAGAAGCAACGGATGGAAACTCATCAAGGAGAGAAGCAACCTGGAACTAAGGAGAAATTTCCTGACAGTTAGAACAATTAACCAGTGGAACAACCTGCCTCCAGAAGTGGTGAATGCTCCAACACTGGAAGTTTTAAAGAAGAGACTGGACAGCCATTTGTCCGAAATGATATAGGGTTTCCTGCCTGAGCAGAGGGTTGGACTAGAAGACCTCCAAGGTCCCTTCCAATTCTGTTATTCTGTTCTCTTCTAATGTAAGGTCAGATTCCTGATCTTCTACGTGACTCTTGAGTAATAGAGAGGTAACCTGCTTTCCTTTTTTCTTTTATTCATAGGGATGCATTGAACTTACGTACTGCGGATCTTGAAGATCAGGAATCAACTTTCCCTTTTACATCAGGTGGTGAGCTTCTTCTTGGGCATTAAACAAGGGAGGGCCTAAGATGATTAATAATATGAATGCAGACCCGGCAGGAAAATGTTGATCCTTGAAACCAGAGCTCGCACTTATTTAAACGAGATGGTCAGGGTGAGATGGCCGTGCCTGGTTGATCGTGGTGTGTTGTCCCATTCTGCCCTGGGAGATCTGTTTAGTTCACGGGTCGGTAACCCGCGGCTCCGGAGCCGCATGTGGCTCTTTGAGCCTTCTCCTGCGGCTCACAGTCTTCCTCCGCCATTTGCAGAGAGAGAGACAGAAAGAGGCACTTGCGCTTCCCTGCTTCCCTTCTCTCTCTCTCTCTCTCTCTCTCTCTCTCTCTCTCTCTCTCTCTCTGTGTGTGTGTGTGTGTAAAAAAGAGAGTGGCCTCACATTCTCCAACAAGCTGACGAGCTTATTGGGCGGGGCTCCTCCCTTTGCTGCATCTCTGCAGGAAGCAGGAAGCAGGAAGGGCAGGAGAGAGCCAACCCAATAACAATGTGTGTCAGCTTGTTGGAGAACAGCCTGAAGCCAGCTTGCCAGGTGAACAGAAGATCGGAGAGAGGGAGAGAGGGGGGGAGGAGAAAGAGAGAGAGAGGGAGGGAGGGAGGGAGAGAAAGAGAGAGAACTCATGCACACCAGCCTCTATTTCTTTTTAATTAAACTCTTCAATCAAGCTCCCTACGGCTTGCGTGTACGCGCACGTTTTGCGGCTCCCAATGTTTTCTTTTCTCTGGGAAACGGGTCCAAGTGGCTCTTAGAGTGTTTAAGGTTGCAGACCCCTGGTTTAGTTGAAACTTCTCTTATGGAACTACAACATAGGAAATGATGGTTCATGTTTGTAAGAAAAGGAAGAGAAAAAAACTTGGGGTCCCTTGAAGCATTCCTTTTTAACCTACATTGTCTTTGCTACGTTTAGTGTCCCAAATCTCTGCTCGCTACACCTGTTCAAAGAAACCATCCTTAGAGGATCGATACAAAGATAGGTCTCCTGTGCATTCCTTGCTAACTGCTCCTTTGGATGACCTTAAGGCAGCTCCTGTACCTTCCTTGGAACGACGGTCCAGTCTGAAGAAGAACAACTCCCCAGAAGCCACAACTGCAACCACTAGTCGAAGTAAGTGGAAAATGTCTATGGAGATTCTCAGTCATCCAGGGCATGGTTGTCCCAAAGGTGCTTTTTCCAAGAGTCAATTGGACTTCCTTGTTTTTCTTTGAAGAAGTTTCGCTTCTCATCCAAGAAGCTTCTTCAGCTCTGACTGGACGGTAGGGAATGGAATGATCTATATTCCTTGCAGACAGCTGGTCATTTGCATTCTTTTGGAGCAGGGGTGTCAAATTCCTGGCCCGCGGGCTGGAAGCGTCATGCCGAAATCAGGCCCACTCCAGCTCCGGCGATGGGAAAAAAGTCGCGATACGTCACGATATGTCACGTGACATGGCGAATTTGACACCCCTGTTTTAGAGAGTCATTGAGGCCACTTGGAAGTTTACTCTTTTGAAGACAACAAAGTCCACATTTTGGACAGAGAGGACCACTGCTTTGAAAGAGGGGAGAAAAAGGCCATCTATGTCAAAACTGAAAAGCCCTCTCTCAACAGATGGGGAGGGATATGACATCATCTAACTCCAGTCCACAACACGGTCCTTTCAGCAGTTCCAAGAAGGCTCCACACTCATTTGCACCACTCAGGTGACCCTGAGGACACCGGTAAACCTCCAGGTGGTCTTATCAACTCTCTAAAAAAATGCAAATGACCAGCTGTCTGCAAGGAGCATAAATCCTTCCATTCCCCACCATCCAGTCAGAACTGAAGAAGCTTCTGGGATGAGAAGCGAAACGTCTTCAAAAAATACCCAGAAAGTCCAGTTGCCTCCTGAAAAAGCACCTTTGGGACAAGTAAGTAGAAAGTAATCATAAAGCCGTGGTGGCGAACCTATGGCACGTGTGCCACAGGCGGCACGCAGAGCCCTCTCTGTGGGCACCCGCACCGTCACCCCAGTCCTCGGCCTTTAGCTGGGTTTTGTAAAACCTTTTCGCTTTAGGCCTCCGCCGCCATGTGCAAAAAAAAAAAAAAAGGTTCAATCAATCAATCAATTTCAACTTCTCGCGGGGAAAAAAAAGATCTCGCAAAGTTGGAATTGATTGATTGAACTTTTTAGTCCCACCCAGTCTACCGTTACCACTGTAGCCACGCCCACCCAATGGGCCACATCCACCCAATGGGCCACACCCACCCAATGGGCCACATCCACCCAATGGGCCACGCCCACCCGGAACCCGACGATACATAAGTGGGTTTTGGGTTGCAGTTTGGGCACTCGGTCTCTAAAAGGTTCGCCATCACTGTCATAAAGGATCTTTTGCTTCAGAAGGACACAACCAGCTCTTCCTAGCAAAGCAAACCCTAAGAAAAGTATCCGGAAGCTGCAGGTGGTTCAAAATGTGGCAAACGGTATGTATGGTTTTGTGAAAGTCTGGATTTATACACGTGCCCCCTCACTTGAGAGAGCTGCATTGGCTGCCAATTTGCTTCCAGGTCTAATTCAAGATGCTGGTTGTCCCCTTCAACCAGCAGGTTGAAGGTGACAAGCCAGGTTATTTGAAGGACAGTCCTTTCCCAGTTATATCTACCTGACCCACCAGATTAGGGAGGTAGGGACTGTTACGGATCCATTGAGTGGGACCAAGAAGAAGGGTCTTCTCTGTGGTGGCTCCTTCCCTGTGGAACATCAGCCCTGCAGAAATAAGGTTGGCCCCCACTTTGACACTCTTTCAAAAGACCCTGAAGACACCTTTTTGCCAACAAGCCTGGGACCCCAGAGTGACATGGAGCCCATCAAGTGGCTGATTTGATTGTTGTGCCAGGGGTGTGTGTGGAATTCTGGGAGTTGAAGTCTACAAGTCTTAAAGCTGCCAAATTTGAAAAAGATTGGTTTATATACCAGGGTATAATTAGCATGCATAAGAATTCATAGAGAGAATTAAATGTAAAGGTAATTAAGATATATATATAAGCTAAAAATCTATTGATGAATGTAATAAATATGTTTTTACTTAGCTGTAATAATAAGAACTATTAGCTTAAATATGAGATAGTAGATATCAAGAGAAAAAGAGAGGAAGTAATAAATGTTGAAATAAGAGAAATTTTGGTTACTAAATTTAAGATATTTGGAAATTAACAGAAAATAAGACTGTTATATCGTATTATTAATTAGTTGATGTAAGATGGTGAGAATTCAAATAGATAAGACGTGTATCTTGAACATTAGATCTTGTGATGAATTGTGATAAAGAGAATTGGGGTTACTTAAAACTTGGAAATTATAAATATTAAATCTTAAATTTAAATATTAATGGGAAACTAAACATTGGGAAAAACTAATTTGGACATTGATTGTCTATAAAGATGGAATGTTAAAATAACTAGGATATGTATAAACTAAAAGTTATTGATAAATGTTAGAAAAGTTATTTTTATTTAATCGATATAATAAGAATTGTATTAGTTTAAATATGAGACAATAAATACTAAGGGGAAAAGAGAGGAAATGTTTAATGTAATAGTTTTGAGATCTGTATTAAAGACACGTATGTTATTGAATTATCGATTAACTCAGCCTCCCCGTTGCTTTTTAAAAATGTAAATGTAAAACTAGAAAATCAATAAAATGTTCTTTAAAAAAAAAGAATTCATAAAATGAAGAAGCAATTTTTAGTGCTGTGAATATGGGGGGGGGGGGGTTCTGTCAATGGAAACATCACATTGTGTGTTTTTCTTTTCGAACAGGTGTTTCTTTCACCACCTCTACCTGTAAGTATAATTGTAATTTTTTCCCTCAACTTCCCATTGCATTGCTGTTGATTGATAAGCCTGTTTCTGTACTGAAAAACAGGCATTTTTTTTTCTTTCCTGATGCACAGAAATAATGAGAAAATAAACATTTGTGTAGTCCGGGTTGGTTCAACACAACAAGTCAAACAAAATACAGGTAGTCCTCAATTGCTGTTGCTAAGAGAGACAGTTGTCAAGGGAGTTTTGTCCCATTTTATGACCTTTCTTAACACAGCTGTTAAGTGAATCACTGCAATTGTTAAGTTAGTAACATGGTTAAGTGAATCCGGCTTCCCCCATTGACTTTGCTTGTCAGAAGGTCGCAAAAGGGATCACATGACCCTGGGACACTGCAACCGTCATAAATGTGAGTCAGTTGCCAAACATCTGAATTTTGATCACATGACCGCAGGGAATGCTGTAACCGTCGTAAGTGTGAAAAATGGGCATATTACTTTTTTCAGTGCTGTTGTAACTCCGGTCACTAAACAAATGGTTGTAAGTCCGAGGACTACTACTAATCTACATTTTTTTTCTTGCCACTAAGTGTAAACTCCTTCTTAAATTCATCCCTCTTCTTTAATGACAGGGATCCTTTATGGAGAACGTGATCCTCTTTTTTTGTGTGTTTTTTTCCTCCACAAACAAAACATTTCAAGGATTTGGGCACAATTATTCCTGAAAGATAAGCGGATATCTTTATTCTGTCACTAAAGATTAGGGATTAGGGTAAAAGCTGAAAGGGAAGAGGAAACCATCGAGTGAGCTGATGGCTAAACTCCACTTTTCACATTTATTAGCAATGGGGGTGGGGAAAAAAACTATCTTTGCGTTGAGTTGTTTCGGCATGCAATTTATCTGTTTGCTCCCGGGAAATTTGAACAAGTCCGTTGGCTCCTATTTCATGCAAATCTGATCCTTTGGGGCCGCCCAGTGTTCCACATGGGTTCAAGTTGAAAATATTTTGTTTACCTTCATGTAAACATAGTTGTTTTGCTTATGTTCTTTGGTTAAAAAAAAAACCAACCCAAGCAAATTTGGGACCAAAGTACACAGGATAAGGGCAGCTCCAAGCTACATCACTGACACAGATTCTGTCTACATTAGTGTTTCTCAACTGTGGCAGCTTGAAGACGGGTGGACTTCAACTCCCAGAATTCCCCAGCCAGCATGGTTTAGCTTGGAAAACTCTCCCTTTCCCCTCAGCATGGCTGGCTCAGGGATTCTGGGAGTTGAAGTCCACGAGTCATAAAAGAGCCAAGGTTGCCTACCCCTGATAACATGAAGCATCCTCAGTCCTCAAAGAGCTGGTGGAAATAATTCACATATCTTTTTCACAGAAAGAGCAATGCATAATAAATAGTCCTCAGTTTACAACCCTTTGTTTAGAGACCTTTCAAAATTACGATGGCATTAAAAAGAAATGATTTAGAACTGGTGTTCGTGCTTACAGCCGTGGTAGCGTTCCCAGGGTTAAAATTCAGGACCTTGGCAACCCGCATGCATTTATGAGGGTGGAAGCAAAGCAAAGTCAGTGGGGGGGGGGAAGCTGGATTCACTTAATGACCGTGCGATTTGCTTGATGACAACCGTGGCAAAAAGGTCATAAAATTGAGTACAACTCACTTAACAGTTGTGGTCGTAAGTTGAGGGCTACTTGCATTTCACAGTTCTTGCTGGTAAGGACAATGAAGGTTGTTCTTCAGTTAGAATGGAATGGAATGAAATGGAACTGGAATTGGAACTGGAACTGGAACGAAACAGAACAGAACAGGAATTGGATTGGAACAGAACAGAATGGAACGGAACAGAACAGGAATTGGATTGGAATGGAACGGAACAGAATAGAAATTGGATTGGAACAGGAGAGGAGAGAAGAGAAGAGAAGAGAAGGGAAGGGAAGGGAAGGGAAGGGAACTGGAACTGGAACTGGAACGGAACAGAACAGAACAACGGAAATTGGATTGGAATGGAACAGAATGGAGCAGAACAGAACAGAATAATGGAACGGAATAGGAATAGGAATAGGAATAGGAATAGGAATAGGAATAGGAATAGAATAGAATAGAATAGAATAGAATAGAATAGAATAGAATAGAATAGAATAGAATAGAAAATAGAATAGATTCACTTAACACCTGTAATGATTCACTTAATACTTACTCGCTTAACTGTGAATAAAAGTTCACAACAACTTTGGTAAAAAAGGTAGTAAAATCAGGTGTGGCTCACTTAACAACTGCCTTGTTTAGCAGTGGAAATTCTGACCCCTACTGTGGTCATAAGTCAAGGATTACGAATTCTAAATCCATTAACTTTGTTTCTATGGGTAGAAATCTGACCAGCTCTGCCAGTCCCAGCAATCTAGTTGGGCTCTGAAAAAACCAGGACTTTGTCAATGTTAATGTAATGTTATGTAGATCAACACAACTACAATTGTTTCAGCTGACTTGGGCTTTTGCCTTTACCACAGGCAGTCCTGGCTGTGGATGTGTGTGCTTTTTATATCTCTGACAGTTTACATCAAGGGTCCCCAACCTGCGGCCCACGGCCCACTAGTGGGCGGTGGGGGGTTTGCAACCAGGCCTTGGAAACGGCCGGCGAGCGCACATGTATCATCACTTGCACAAGCAGCGGGCAAGAGCACACGCATGCTCCCTTTAAAATGAGCTGCAGACGCAGGTGCATCCCGCTCACGCAAATGGAGCTGTGCTCACACTTCTGCTTGCCGGCCGCTAACGCAGAACCATTCCCTCTCACCCCTTCCCCCCCTCCATCTCCCCACCGGTCCACAAAGCCGGAAACATTGGGCAGCACTGGTTTACAATCATGACTGGCTATTTTGTCCCTAGCGATTCAGACGGGGGAATCCAGTGGAAGCGCTTGCAGGAAATTACAGAACAAGATGGAGAATCTACAAAACCTTGTGGAAACAATGCAGTTAAAAAACCAAGGTAGGAGAAATTGCTTTGCTTTGCTTTGTCCTTGCACATTTACGACGTTGTAAGGTCCTTTTGGTACTGTGACGCAGGAAATCACCTTGAGGATTTCTTAAAACAAGTTGATTGGACCAAGGCAGGACTAGAACTCACCATCTCCTGGTGATTGGCCCAAAGTCACCCAGCCGGCTTTCATGCCTAAGGCGGGACTGGAACTCACCGTCTCCTGGTGATTGGCCCAAAGTCACCCAGCCGGCTTTCATGCCTAAGGTGGGACTAGAACTCACAGTCTCCTGGTGATTGGCCCAAAGTCACCCAGC